TTAAATGCAGATGTTTCTCCGGTACGATGGGGTGAATATGTCGCGGCGTGGTAATGTTCCTGGATCCAGCATGTGGTTAACTTAATTGGGTTTTGACAGTCTTGGAAGCAACAACCGCTCTCTGGGCGATGCCTGGTTCCTGCGTAGATGTTGATCACCGCATTCAAACATGTTTTGTGTTCGGTATGTGGCGAGTGTACTTTTCGTATGTGCGGTCCTCTACGTAAGTCTGCCCAGTTCGTTCATTGTATGAGCTTCTATGAACTCGCGCAGTTCGAAGCCTGCAGAGGGGACTATTTCGGTCAAGAAAACATTTGGTTTCATGGCCTTCTGCCCCTGAAACTTGAGATGGTCAAGTTGCTTATGTTTGTGACCGAAAGTGTTCGCCATTTACAAATGTGGAGGGCAACAATTGTTCCACTTCGAATTGACTTTCCGATAACGGTTGTTTTGTTCGTGGGGCTTCTTGGTTTATTATCGGTAGGAATCATGATACCGTACCATGTACAAAGGTTATGGGATTGTTGGTGGTGTCGATTTTACTGTGGCAGCTGTGTAAATGTTTCTCGACCGTTCGGCTACGAAACTCAGTGTCGGTTACATGAGGGAATGCAGATTCAGATGCCCATGGTAGTTTGACGCTTCGTCCTAAGCCTTGCGTTCCCATGCCCGAACTTGTTGGGTTTATGTTCAGCGGGGTTTAGTTGTAGTCCTATTGGTGTGCGGTTAAGGTCGGCCTAACTTAATAGCCGCATTAAGCTGTCTTCGCCAACGTGTTCCCTATCCGCGTCAGAACCTGATCTTGGATTTCGCCGTTCGACCAACTTTTATATCGCTCTCGAATGGTGTACGGCACCGGGCAGTCGCCCTCAGCTAACAGTCCGGAATTTGATCAAGTGCGTCTTTGTTCTCCGGTCAGCAAGCGTAGACCTTGATGATTATGGTTTCACTAGATTCGGGTTAAAGCACCGTTGATCTGGTTCGAAGGCTGGCAGCCGGACGTCTTTCCAGAGAGCCCTTGGTTTTCCAAAATGTGTTTTTCAAGAGGTGGTCTTGTCGAATTTCTGCATTATAGCATATTGTTTTTGCGGTACATAATTTAGTGGTGGCTAGTTATTGCGCTTGGGGCGATTAGAGAAGAGTCGCTAGACGTTTGCATTCATCTGTTTTGCATGGTCATCGAATACTGCCTTGCTGTTGGTCCATTACATATAAACCGTAGACAGTGACAAGTATTAACAAGGGAAGTTGCGTGAATGAAAGAAGTCTGCCTCTGACTGAACTGGACTACGAGTGCGGCCGCTCTCCTTCTGTCGCCATACGGTAAGGTTGCACCGACGCGTACTGTCAAAACGCAGAAATGCCGTCTGACTGGCGGTTGAAGAGTAATGAAGTGTGGCCCCCCTCGGTCTGGTAATGGGTATGGAGATGGCTGTTGATAAATAATCTCAAATACGTATTTTGGCACTTGTGATCAGGGAATATGGCTTGACCAGCCTAACATCATATGGAACGTTGAAAAAGAAATTATATCTTTCTCGCAGTTGACGTAGATGCTGGCCTTTGGCTTCGTGATTATGCTCGGTAAGGTCTTTGGCCACTGGCATTGTCGTAGATATAAATCCTCCGACTAAGTTATCTCGGAAGTTTTATCCGATCGTGGATAGTCTTCGTGGTTTGGTGTATCACTAACTTCCGTTCCTCTTTCTTTTAGTTCATAGATCCAGACAAACTCCTCATCTCTTTCAAAGACAATCTAACAGAGAATGGTGGTATTCGAAAGTCTTCCATCCCTGCCCTCATAAATTTGATGTCCGATACGAATGGAAAGCTCGTTCCCAAGTGCGTTTCCTTGTGCATCATAGCGGCCTCTGATAATGCCTCGCGAGCCCAATTGTGTCAAAGTGGTGCTTGGGATATCCTCCTCAAATGGCTTCAAGAGGCTCTGAAAGAAGACCACCAGTCATTTCTGATAGAACTTCTGAACGTGTACCTTAACCTGCCTGTTCGCTTCGAGAATCTCACCCAAAATGTCTGCCCGAAGTTGATAAATTCTCTCGCAAAGCGTTCAGAAAACAAAGGTAAAGACATTATCTTTACTAATTCCCTTCTCCTTAGCTGTTAAATCGGCTGCTGGCGAAATCGTGAAAAAATGGAAAGGAGTCATCAGCCGCGAGACGCGGCGCGAAGGCAATGTCGAACCGCCTGTCAAAAAGAAGCGCCCTGAATCGAACGGGAAGGCAGAGGTGACTGAATCAGAGCAACATGCGGCGGTGAAAGACCCCAAGAAGCGCCGTTCTACCGTAAAGATGCCGCCAACTGTTATGCGTACGGCGGGCATAGAAGACTCCGTGGAACAGTTTACGCCTAAGTCACGCTCCGAAGTCCTTTCAAAGAAAAGGTATGGTTTTCTGCCCTTTGAATCTTATTTGTCTTCAGCAGGCACGATTCGTCTGAAAAACCCGCACCCAGTCTCCCCATAGAGTCATTTCATCAGAAAATTACAGTAGTTCCAACGGAACCAAAGAAACGTAAGCCCACTCCTGCTGATTTTCATTCTCCTTTAGCGACTTACGGTCTCCATGAAAGTTCAAATTTCATCAATTCATTAACTACGACACCGCAGCCTGTAGTACGTAAAAAACGGAAAATTGCAAAACCCGAGGCACCTATCACTTCCGAAGCTGTAAGTTTTTGTTTTTGTTTAATTCCCCTCAAGAACTCTGTCGGAAACGACCAAACCCAGATCAAAGTGAAGTCTGAGGTTTCAACCGAGGAGGAAATGGATACGTCGGCTTCCGCTACTTCTGACACAGAACCACTTAAGAAG